AGAGTGTGTGGTTCCGGATGTGGTTGGGGGTGTGCCTCTGGTACCACCCCAATACAAATTTCATTAAAAGATTACATAGAATATTATTATTATAATGAAGATAGCCACACTCTCATTCTTAATAATGCAAGTCTCAGTAATATGCTCTCAGGTGATTACACAGTGATGTAAAAAAAAGAAAAGAAGAAGGATGAATATTAAAAATATTATTCATGGATCTTCCAAAAAAAAAAATTAATTTAATATGTTATTATGAACTCCTAAACTATATATCACCCTACCAGCCATGTGTTAGGTAGGTTATGTATTTAAAATAAAGTTACTACTCACATTTCATGATCCATATTAGAAAAAAAAATAGTTATAATAATTTACGTAACGTTTCAAAAATTCATAATAGTTTGTTAAAAACTGCATGCTGAAATAAAATGAAAATCAATTTACTGTTTTTTCCATTGAAGGCTCGTATTGACTTTACCCTAGCAAAATGTATTTTCATTCTCTATTATTATTTTAATTAAGACAGACATCTGTGATGTGATCAGTCTTTTTTTGGAAGAAAATGATGTGATCAGTCTTAGTATCACCCTTATTCAATCGTTTTTTGTTCATTATGGTCCTGATTTTCCCTTTCATGGAGGACAAAATGTTTTTTTAATGGTCAGGAAAAAAAAAATACTCCTGTCAAAAGTTGTAAAGTTCTTGGTAATTAATTAGCTAGTCGATAATATAAAACAACGAGATAAAATTATTAATTAACAGAAAGTTGGAAAAATGGATAAAATTATAAAGGGGGAAAGCTGATAACAGACAAGAAAGTAGCATCAAAGGAATTATTTAACAAAGAGTAAGAAAACAGCAACTTGTCCACTTCTATGTTGACTTTGAGAGGGTTGGGATAAGTTTTTTTTTTTAATTTTAATTTCTATGTTTTGGACTCTAAAATTTATTTTTTTTCTTCCATATTTTAAAATTAATCACTTAAATAATTGAAATTGCTGTTTAGTCCATCAAGATTACACTTAATTTTTTGACTTGAGTTTGGCGAGCTAGCACTTTTTAATTTACTTTTTTAAATTTTAAGAATATGATCTCGCCATAATAAGAGAATCAATTTCTAATTAGTAGGGCTTGGAGTTACTCTTGACTTTTTAAGTACAAAACAAAATGATGTGTGAAAAAAGAGGAAATGATATACAATTCAGTGGTATATATGGTCGTTGAAAACCTTTGCCATTAGCCCAAATTAATGCTCGCTTATCTCTGTACTTAAAAAAGAGAGAGAATGTTGGGCTCCTAAGTGGAGTGTAATTACCGCTAAGCCTAATTTAAGGGTGTTGCTACAGGTACCCAAATAGGGGACCCCTGAGGGGACAGGTGAGGTGTCAGTCATGGGGGCTTGATGCACTGTTTATGATGCACTGTTTATGAACAGTGCATCAAGCCCCCAGGGACTGACACCTCACTTGTCCCCTCAGGAGTCCTCTATTTTGAGGTCCCTGAGGAGTTTTCCTTAATTTAATTATTAATAATTGATTAGTTCTTGATAGCATTAGGGATGTCGGACGTGTCGTAAATGATACGCGGTTGCTTGGCTCAGACTACACTCTAATTAACTGCCATTATTAGCATTGTTTTCTTTATTAATAATATTATATCTTATCATTATTCTCCCTCCAACCTAGAGTTAGTTAATGATGAAGACCGAGAAAATCATGAGAAAAATATCTACTGATTACGGTCCACGATGTCAATGATGTATAAAAAATTATATATAGTATTTTCAGATCCACATCTAGAAAAATATCTACTGATTCCCAACTCCAGAAATCAAAACTCCAAACTCACTATACGCCTCCAAAAAATCTCTAACAGCTTTACTCTATGTATCCTATCAAAACTGCTTCGTTCAATCCACAGAGTATAATCCTTTTAGAATCAAGTCGGGTTAGATAGGTCTCATAACTTTTCACGAGTTAATGCTACAGGAACTCAAACCCATGGGACAGGGGAGGGGACATGTGAGATGGTACCTTCCCATTTGCTCCGTGCACCCCATTGCTCCATGCACGGAGCAATGGGGAGGTGTCACATCACCTGGGTTTTTTTGGTCCTTAGAGAATTTCCCAACTTTTCATAGTTACCTTTTTTTTTGATAACCTAGCATGGAATCAAACTCAAGATCACAGGTGTCATATTAAAATCTTTCAACTGTCCGACCAACGATGGGTGATGGATTTCATAGCTTAATGGTGAGTTCGAGTCGAGAACATGAGGTTATAGGAGTTTAAATTTGACGGTCCGCTAAACTCAATCTGCCCAACCCTAAATTATGGAGGGGTATGTATGTAAAGGACGCGCGCAATGCACGTGGGAGGCCATGCCAGATATTTTTTTGGACTGTTTCTTATTTTAGGAGGCTACAATAAAAAAAAAATATTTTTTTTTTACCGTTTCTTATTTTAGGAGGCTACAATCTTTTATTGTGCCGCACAGGGCGCATGCTGTTATCAAACCCGCATTGGTGGAATATCACGTCCGTTACTCGAGTCTTCCTTTCACATTGAAGTCTGCTTCTCCACCACAACTTGAGATGAGGCCCCTTTGGTTAAAATTTAGGGGTGTTTTTTTTTCCACACAAAAACCACCTTTAAAATACGGTGAGAATCCGAAGACTATCTATAAAGTTCAATTTTTACAGAAACCATATATAAAAGGGAAAATTGCTTCTAGGCCCCAAAATCCAAGTTTCAATGTGCCTCAGTCTCCCCAACTTTCAACAATGTGCTGCAGCCCCTTTTTTTTTGAAAAAATTATGTCCAGGCCCCTCTCCCCAAGTTTCAATGCAACATCTTCAAAAATTTCAATTTTACCCCTCCCCTACACCCCCTCCTCCTCCTCCGTTCCCCCTCTGCCCCTGCCTCCCTTCC